TGACACACCCATCTGCAGAGGGTTTTCAGCTCAGCAACATGCCGTTGTGAAGGGGTTAAAAGGAATATCAATTTATGCTTTTGAAACCAGGAGCCACTCAAGTGCAGTCCGGTTTTCTGCTGGAATGGGAGGAGCTTGTGCCTTACCAGCTCTATTGCAAGGACAGATTAGCTGGCTTTTATCTGTTCCCCTAACTGCCTTTGATATGATGTTAACTACTGGCAGTAGGTCATAAGAACTTTTAATTTTCTTCTCATTCTTGTAAGCAAAATTAATTTAACTTTCACTGCTATTGCTATATGTATTTATGAAAGTATTCTTATAGTACATGAAAGAATTTGAAGTAAAATACACTGATGCAAAAATTGCAAGTATAAGCTTTGAAATGGCCAGTCCTCAGTGTGTGTGTGTGTGCATGTGCACGTGGATACCATAATTTATTTGGATATGTGTGCACATATACAAATTCATGTGCTGTACTAACACACTACTTCATATTAAATTTGAAATCATCAGCAAAACATTTTAACCCTCAAATTAATTTAAAATTCTACAATACAATATTTCTAAACACAGCAATCTCTCACCATCTGTGATCTTGAACTAAAATTTAGTATATTTTATTGCTACTTTAATGTTTACTGTTTCATTTTCATATTTTTATTGTTCTCACTTATTTGTTTTTGGCTCTTTGCCACCTTTTAGACTTTGTGGCAGAGCCTTGTAAGATTTCTGAACATAAATAGAATCGGGTATAGAAATTATTTTAGTTTGTGAATTTTATAATAATTAATGGAACTTTCCATATTCAATGCTTGCTGGTGCAAAATATGTCCATACAATAATTCATACAGCAAACAACATAAAAAAGCCAGAATATTTTTGAAGTAATATATGCTAAATAGTACAGTGTAGTCTTTCAAGAGAAACACATTTCGCTGCACAATAAAATATGCCAAAATGATCATAAACATCTATATCAAAGATCAAAGCATTTTCAGCAACAAAAATTTAAAAAAAATTGTCATGCTATTCCTGGCTATCATTTCTAAAAACACTGTTGTAATTTACTTTTGAGCAGAATTTTCATCCATTAAATGCCATATGATGTAATTAAAAATGTACGAAATAATTATTGATTGGAAAAGCTATGTCGCCTCTGCAAAGATTACATTTTCAGAAGTTTACTCAGGGTTCGTACACATTTCTGTACACAGAAATTAAGTACTTTTAAGGACTTTTAAGGACAATTAATGAAAAAATTAAGGACCTATGAGCAAACGGGAAATGAATAATTCAATTGAAGATATATCTATGCCTGAATTCACCTTTGTATACCAGCCTAAAATAAAACAGTACTAAGTATACGCATTATACTAAAATGATTAATACATAATTGTTATAAGTTGAGAATAAATAAACATGCAATTATCAAGTAGCATAAATATTTCCACTTTGATGTTGGTCATATTTGAAGTTTCAATGATTTCTTCTCTTTTAAGAATCTTTTCTAACAATTAGAGATTTGTCTCAATATGCAAAGCAGTGCTCTCACCAGTTTCTGCGTGCTTCATCTCCTAACTTGTCAACCTCTCCATAATGCACCTATGAGGGTTTAAATGATCTGGTAAAAGTTAAATAGTCCAAAACCCCTGACAGACGTGAAGCATAATACCACTATGTATGAAATTAACTACAATATCAGACAAAGGTTTGAATAAGCTTCTTATTTAATAAGAACTTAGAACATAAAGTCATGTTCTGATGCTAACAAGATCAATTACAACTCACGGTGATGTAATTAAACAAAACAGTCAAATTAAACTAATAATGTGGACTAGTGGCAAAATAACAATTTATGTAATTTAAATCTGGTCAAAATAACCTATCATATGAGGAAATAGAAAGGAAAAAAAAACTAAGGGGAAGAAGAAACTTTAATTAATAATATAGAGGCTCAAATATGAAAAAGAATTCAGGTAGGGATGAAGTTGCTTATTCAAAACGTTTCGTTAATTGAGAGTTTGGATTTAATTAGGATTTCGTTATTAAAAAAAAACTAAATGCAGGGAGAATGTAAGAAAAAGGGATAATTTTTTAGTATTATGAACATTAAGAAGCAAATGAAATATATAGATATAAAGGCGGTTACAAGCTAATGTGGCAGAATTTCTAGAATTAGGACCACCGAACAACAAAAATTAGAAATGGCAACTTTTAGAATTTAGAGAAAAATTGGAAACAAATTTAGAAAGGCAGTAGGCAGCAGAACGTAGGATCCACAGAGAGCATCAGGTGGGAAATGCCTAGTGCAGCCTGTGTATGATGCTTTAAGAAATATTAGATGAATTTCAATTTCTTATTAATAAAAAAATCCTTTCTATATGCCTGTCCATGTTATAAGATCAGAAGCATTTCTGATATTTCCATCTTCTAGTGAAAGTAGAGAAATAAAGAGAAGATAAACATGTTAACATGTTAATATCAAATATTATGTTTTCATGGTTCTTCTAGATGTTCTCCCAAAATTAAGAAATTCATTGTAAACTTTCTGTAAAATACATCCACTACATGTTAATACCATGGAGACATTTTTCATTTTGTCATGTATTTCTCGAATCTTCTAGAATAGTGGGTCTATAAATCTTGCCTTCAAATCCTTCTATACTTTCCAAGCTGCAATGCCTAAAATCCTAAAGAAAAATTATCCCTACCATTTCTGTAACAGAAAAAGGCCAGAAATATTTCGGAAAAAAGTATAAATTTTTTTATAGAAACTGATGACATTCTGAGATTTTGAATATTGAGGACAATTACATGGGAAATCTCTTACTATGAAAAAATTAAAAACAAGAATTTTAATTAATACATAGCTAATTTTGCTTTTGCTAAGAGGTTTCGAACTTGTGCTTTATAGCATTATACCTTTTTTCAGATTTAAAATATTGTATAAGTTGCCAAAATGAACTTTATATATGACAGCGAAAATAAAAATGTTTTATTTTAATGTTATTTTTTATATATAATTTCAAATATTACCATTATTTTAATAAAATTTATCAATGTTACAATTTTAAAAAATCGTTCGTCGAAAAATTCTCAGATTTTGGAATTAATAAGTTTCTATAGAAACTAATCTTAAAATCATCAAATTTAGAACCGTTTAATAAAAGAATTCACATCCCCAAAGCAAAAAGTTGTTTAAGAGCTCTTTACTAGAAAAAATGAATTTCAAAATGCTTAGTTTCATTCTTGCTAGAAACTGAGTATCCCATAATTTATATTAGAAATAGAAACAAATATAACTATGAAACCCATTCAAAGATACCATATATACGGCAGTGAATCGCCAAAAATATTCCTCAAAATGCTAATTCACACTCAAAATGACAGTCGTAAAAACAGACAGAAATTTCAGATGATTAAAATTAAGGACCTTCTGTTGATTTTGGCCGAAATTAAGGACTTTTAAGGACCAAAAATCCATTCCAAAAAATCTAAGGACTTTTAAGGACTCTTAAGGATCGTATAAACCCTGTTACTTCATTCAGCAATCATCTTTACTCATAATCAAATCACTAATATTTCAGTTGCTGAGTGATCAGACCGAGATATATACAGCAAATAGCACATTATACAATCTTGAGCTAATTCAGAATGATATTTAAAAGTTAATTATAACCAATAATTTAAAAGTATCCTAATTCAAAATGAATTAGCATTAATTCAAATCATTAGTTTAATACTAATTTCAAAATTCAACAATTTTTGGTAACAATCATTTTACTAAATGATCAAATGATTTTATCTGATCTATATTTATAACTCAGAGGGACAAAATATTTTCTTGATAATTCTAACATTTTATGCATAGCTGAAATAAGAAAAACTCTTAGCCTTCATTGCAAAGCCAATAAAATGCATACGCCATCAATATTCTCAATTGTTCCCACATATCTGCAGATGACAGATTCTTGTTCTTTATAACAAAACTTTTGCATAAATCATAATAAAAATCCCACACATTGACTTATTCTAGGCATTATAAAAGTGTATACATTTATTCATTATATTATTTAATCTGCAGTTATAAGAATTTCATTGCCAAAAACAAGATTTGTTCACTTCTCAAATAACAAATTCACAAAATGCTGTATTTAATCATGAATGACCTATATTTAATCATAAATATTTCAGATCAAAAGAAATGACATATTGAGAAAAATTACATGATATATACAAATATATAACATTTATATTAGTACATACCTAAGGAAGGTTTCTTTAATTTACTTCTCATTGCTAAAATTTCATCCAAATTAAATCCTTTTGGAGAATCAACCATCTTAATGTCTTTTACCGTAGGCTTTTTCAGGGCCTTCATTTGTTCAATAATACTATTTTCAGTGATTTCTAGTGATGGCTGACTAGTTGCGGGATGAACTGAGATAGGTGCTGCAGTAAGCCCAGATGAAGGAGGTGGTGGTGGAGCTGGAATATTAAGCAGTAGTAGTGGGGGAGGCGGAGGCGGTGGTGGTGGCGGAACAGGCGGTTGAGATGGAGGTGGTGGCGGAAGAGGAGGCTGGGATGGAGGTGGTGGCGGAGGAGGAGGAGAAGGAATAGTGGTTGTTTCAACAGAACTTTCAACTGAAACCTTCCTTTTATCACTTTCTTGAATCTTAGAATCTGATTTAGCTTCAGCTGAACTTCGTACAGGAGTAGTTCTTGATATCTCTTTGGCATTCCGTTTAGGAACAGAACTTGGTCCATCTGATTCACTGCCTGATGCCTGGCCTTTTGCTTCTAAATATATAGCTTTCTGAGTAAAAGGATATAAAATTCTTACATTAACCAACTGATGATATTTAAAAGTTAGCAACTTAAAAATAGAAATAAAAAAAAATACTGAAGCAAAAAGGAGAAAAGCCTGACTAAAATACAAAATTAACAAACTGCATATTTATTTACATAGCTACATGAATTCAAGAGCAGCTACTTTACATGTCATTCAACTAAATACAGATATTTTCAGAAGGAAGAACAAAATTTACCAATGAAATACACACACATTTAAAAAATATTCTCCCACTACACAATTTTGATATGTTATTAATAAAGATAATAGTATTTTATAACAGCATTAAAAAAATCTTCAGAACAAAGCATTCATGCTGCAAATTACTAATCAGATGCTAATAATCTGCTTATAACTTACCAATAATTTTAAAAAAGTTATTCAAATTTTCTATACTAAATCACACATATAATTCATTTTTTATTTTTTCATAGAATGCTTGGAAAATTTATTTATTTAGTTTATTTCCCAAGAGCTAAATAAATAATTTCATAATTTAAGATGTTGTTTTTTTCTAGTTTTATATGCATATAGGTATCACATATGTTTGCCACAGATATGAATGCTTTTCAGATTCTCATAATTAAGCCATTAATGCATGCTATTTATCTCATTATTTAGAAAGATTTCAACAAAGCCATGGTTCACAAAATTCTGCAACATACTACTTGTGAATTCATGGATACTTTAAACATTCCCCTAATGATGTCAAATAATCATTTCATACACCTTGGCTGCATCAATCACTTTGAAATAAGGGTTCTGCATCAGCTGTCAGAGAGTATCCTCTTTAACCATGTTCCATTAGATGATTTGCTTCTTTGGCAGAATGAAAGAAAACCATTTTTAAAGAAACTAGTTGTGGATAAAATTTAGATACTCTGTATGAACATTCATCATACACACTCAGAACAGCCCTAATAAACTTTCAAAGGTAACAAGGGTTAATGTCAATTTCATAGGATCTGAAGGACATCATTTACACATTGCTTTCATATAATAAATTCAATAAAATGCTGTTTCCAACTGGACAAATTTTTAAAAAAATGAGCAAATCGGGGAAAAAAAAAAGGCCAGCATTTAATGAATAGATGAGGCACAATTAAATATTATGATAATACCAGGCATATTTTGTCTTTAACCATAAGAAACAAACTGTTAACGTTTGAGTGGGATCATATTCTGAAAATACTACTCCAGATTTAATTCAATATATGAAATAAAAATGCACTTGGAATGACATTTTGCTGCCATAGCCCAAAAGGTTTTGAAAGATCTAACTATGCAGTTTCTGAAGAAATGAAAAAACACAACAGAGTAGAATGAATAAAATTCAGTAAAATATAAAATACTATTTTTCGAACTACTTTATAATATATAACATCTAAAAATTGTTATGCATTATACATTTCAGATGTGATTTAAATAATACTAAGTAATTTATTCTAGCATTGCTACTGAAGAGACTTTTATATTTTAGATAAGAATTTGCTATAAGATTATGTAAATAATTATAGACATTTGCTTTGATACAATGTACCTAAAATTATATCACATTTTAGACACATGCCTTGATAAATAATATTTTATAACATATGAATAATTTTAATGGCATGACGGATATTGAATTCAAAGATTTGATGATCTAGGTAGCAAATTTTCTCCAGAAGCTTCAACAGTACAATAGTAAAAAACCTGAGCTAAAAATGGCAAAATTCAATGTTCCTCTTCACCGAGTTTACACTTATATGATAAACTGCCAAAAAATTTTAAAAATAAATAAGTAAATAAAAAGTTGAAAAGAGAATTCAACTCACTATTTACTAAGAACTAATTCATTAGACTACAGTAGCTTTATTTTGAAATAATTTTGAGCTTAGAGAATCAATTCACATTTTATTTTCTATCAAATGAATTTTGGATCTTTTCCAAAATTTGCTAGAATTAGCTATTAGAAAAGTGTGATTACTTGACTGATAATGCATATTTAGATTATACAATATCAAGTTTCTATTACTGTTTTAGAAGTCATTCAGAGTTCACTTGAATGTGAATATAATCGACACCGAAAAAAATTCTTACAATGAAGCATTTTTTGTTTATTTTAAGCTTCAAATGATTTTATGAAAACATTTATGAACCCCTGGGTGACTGAGTGCCCCCAAAGCTAACACTACATTCTTTTGTAAATACTTTTTGCATGAATTAACAGAAATTATTAACATTTTATTTTAAGATAAAATATGCTCAGTATTTTCATATGAAAAATAAAAAAGGAATCAACATAAGTAAAATGTGATGCTTTAGTTTTTGGCACTGTCCGACTATGACAAGCTAGGGCTCAACACATAGTATTCTTTCATGAGAACCCAATGCCCACTTTTCATATTTTCATGATGGAAAAATAAGATATGAGAAATTACAGGATGATTTGCCTTTTCAATTATTAAGCCCTTAAAGCCAGACCTTGTGGGCTTAAGTGCTACTCAGAACTTGAGTATGAAATCAAAATCACAACAGTTAAAGACTAAAGCATGAATAATTTGAAAGGCATGATTTTCAAGATATTTTTGTATTATGCACTTTCTAATTTGAAAACAATGACTCGATGATAAATAAAATATAATGCCACACACTTAACTATGTAGAAAATGCAACGAGATGAAAGCTTTTGCAGATGTGTCAACACCTAGAATATTACATTACATGTTGTTTCAACATCCTGGAAGTTAACAAGAATTGTAGAACACAAAAGAATATAACTGGAACAAACTGGAATATAACTGGAACAAAAGAAACTGTTGCATATTTATGCACATTTGAGGAAACCATTTAAGTGAACTTATTAACTAACAAAAGCTAAATAATATATGCATCAAAGATAACTGTACATCATAAGAGTACATCACAGAACATGCACACTGTGCTCTAGACAGTGTCAAAGCTGAAATTATCCACAATCCCTGCATAAATGTTACCTTAAAATCAGAATTTATCCACATTCAACAAAATCATATTGCAACAGAAACCTATTTTCCAATCTCCTATATCTCTGGATGTCCATTCGAAAATGTGCAGCAACCATAAACGAAAGGGATCATCAGAAAGCCCATCATTTAGATTCCAACTGATGAAGCATACAGACTATCTACAAAAGCTACCACTTCAGTACAATTTCTATAAAGTCTATGCATGAATAAAAATATTATTTTATTTATCATTTTAACACTACATGTACCACTTGATCTCTAAAATGATAGTTCAAACTATTCCCAACAAGTTCTCAGCATATTTTACGTGATCAAAATAAATCTATGGCTCACAATTTTAATCTGAAAACTGGAAAGAATTATTAATATATTGATAAATTTTACAGCAATTTTACAATAAGAATTAAAAATTCATTATTCTTTCATAATAAAAAATACTTTTGTACAATCAAAGTGTTTATGGATATCAGGTTTTTACAAATTTCATTTAATAACTTTGAGAAATTTAAAATAACGTTAATATAAGAAAGAGGCATAAAATTTTGGTGAGCTTTTTATAGATACTGTAATAACAAACGATGCTCAATCAATAATCAAACAGAGATATGGACATATACTATTTTCTGAATATAGTAAAAATTTAGGGGAAGGGCTACTGGTGAGATGTGAAACTGATTATAATGTTGAACATTGACTGAAAACTGTTGCATATTTATGCATATCTGAGGAAACCATATAAGCAAACTTATTAACTAACAAAAGCTAAACACAGAAGTAATGGGTGGCGAAATCTGTAGTATGGTTCTAGATCCAGAAAATACTGCTACCGATAGTGACACAGAGGTTATTGAAAATGAAAAAATTTCGATTGACAAGTTAGTCGGTATTCTCGACATAGCAATTACAGGACTTGAACAGTGGAACTTTGTAACTGAACAAGAAATTATGTCTGTTTATAGAATTAAAGAGAAAGTATTAGCACAAAAAACGAAGCTACTTAAACAACTTACATTGAAGGAAATGTTTAATAAAAGTAAACAAATAAATATTAAGCTTTTTTTGTAAAATTCGATATCCTTTAGATCATAATTGCTTTTTGTTTCATAAATTACGGTTTCATATTTTTAATTGTATAATTTCTGCATGCCATCTAACCAGATTTAAATTGATGATTTATAATCCGGAAAAATCCCAAATCCGAATTGCCGAAATCCCGACGAGTCTAGATTTCGGACTTTGTACTGTATAAGAATCATGGAGATAGTTTTAAATGACACTGTTACAATGTTTGATGAAAATGTTACTTTACTCAAAAGCAAAGAACATACATGACTTAAGGCCAATTTAAGAATGATTGAGACAATATGCATTAGAGATTTCCTGAAGTACTTATAAAATGACAGTTTGTGGTGTTTTGAGAGCCACTTAAAACACTCACAATTCGAAAGGGTTGAACTTGTTAAAGATATCACATGGGAGGTCTTTTGTAACTGTTAAAGCACTTCACTCACACAACATGATCCGAGATTCTGGCCTTAGCAGAAACTTGCTTCCCAACAGATACATGACTCTTGCATCACACTTCCATTCAAGCCCAAAGATGTTGCCAAAAGCTTAGCTGCAATAAACAGCCTGTGAGCTACAACCAACAACCCTCTCTCAGGCCATCACAAGCTTTTAAATTTATCTCTTGATTCACATGCAACAAAATGGCAACAAAGTTACATAATTTCCACATCTATGAGGGAATTGAAAAGCTGTTTTAATTATAAGTAAATAAATCTTGATTAATAATTAAGGTAAGCTTTTACATACAACTCCCCTCCCTCTTTTGGGTATGCTTAAGACAAGATTTAACAAATAATATTAACAGCTAAGAAAAATCTTACAAAATAAATTTTTAAAAATAAAGAACAGTGACGTACATTTTTGCCACTGATTTTGGACAAATCATTAAATATGACAATGAATTAAAAAAAGCTATAATACTTTAGAATACTTTAGAATATTTAAGTATATCTGAATAAATAAATATACTTTTTTGTATTCTTTGAGTCTTTGAAGTGTTTTCTTCCTTTCATTCGCTAGTTTATCAGGAGCTAGCTCTTTAGAAATCTTGGATTCTTTCCTTTTACGACTCTGAAACAATCATAATATATACATATAGTCTTTATTAATAAACAAGTCAAATAAATTCATTGAATTTTTTTTAAATAAATAAAATACACTCCTTTCTCATTGCACTTACAATTGCTGCGGCCTTTTCATTTTTTTCAATTACAGCAGCTTTAAGTTCTTTCTTTTTCTTTAACTGAGACAGCATAGTTTTCTAAAATAAAAATTTAGAAGAATTTTTTTTTTTTAATTTATTCACCGTTAAATAAAATTTGTACAGAAAACAATCATATTTTTCAGTAAGACAAAAAAAAAAAAAAAAAAAAAAAGATGACATTAATACTAGCTAAACAGAAAGGTAATTTTCTGCCTTTCATGGAAGTGCTTTGAAGAATGTAAAAAATATTCACACATTTTTAACATGGACATTCATATTATTTAGTGTTCTCTTAGGGAAAATAGAAAATCTTTTTGAACAAATATAATGCTTTTCATGTAAATAATGCTATAAATAAATTTTACCTAAAATATTTTGATACGAAATATTCACATTATCTGAGAATTTATCAACTGATTATTTTCTTACAATACTTGAAGAATAAAACTGATTAAAAAAATATGCAAATTTTGTTCTAGTAAAAGTTATTTAAAAATTCTCAGTCAAAAATCAGACAAAATGAAATATAAGTAAAAATAGTTACTTAAAATCAAAACATGGTAACAACAAACTTGATTAGTAATCAAGTTTTCAAATTAAAACTTTTTTATAAATCACAAAATGCTGCAGCATATTGAACTTCTTTTTTTAACACAGCTATAAATACAATGTGTCTAAAATAGACAGCATATGTTTCCCCCCCCTCCTCAAAAAATATTAAATCAAAATACAAAGTATCAAATAATAATTCAGTAGTATTGGCATTGAATACATAATCAATAAAATAGTATATAAAAATAGAACTGTAGTTACTGCAGCTATAAAAATCAGTTATTTGTTGTACCACTTTTACTTTTTCAAACAGATCAATGATCAGAGATCAGATCAGTTGTAATAATATTTTGTTAAATTTCATAAGCATGGTAGAATGAGTAACAACTAGTGTTTAGATAAGGGGTTCGCAACAGTGTTGGTATAGACCCCTGTGGGTTGATTAAATTTTAAAGTGGGTTTATGATGATTAAGGGGTCGATACACACTGTGTAATCAAGATTCTATTGATTACAAGAAATTATTAATGAAACTTAATTGTTTAAAGCTGTATCATACAAAATCAGTCTAATTAAAAACAGATCAGTACACTTAATTTTGAAGTCCAAGAAAAGAACCGCAAAATAAAGTTGCTACTGAGCCAAACAGTATTAACTTTTCCTCCTCTTACCTAGTTGAAATATGCTTTAGCCAAGCCAATAATTTATTACACATAACAAGAAGCAATTTTTAGACAAGGTAATCAAGAACTAAGCAAAGAAATTTTATGCTAAGTCTTGAAAAAAAATTGCATCAATACACCCAGTGTAGCTATCGCATTAATTAAAATCAAATTTTAGTGCAATTAGAATGTTATTATTATTTTTTTTTCTTCTGAAAACTTCTTTATAGTTCCAAAATTTAAAATAATTATAATGCAAATAAATAAATAAAAGATGAAAATAAACCTAATAAACCATTTTTTTCCCAAAACTTAGTCATTTATATGTTGTTTGCATACTGCAGATTATAAATCAAAATGCAAGAGGGTCAATGAACCATTTTTTTTAAAGGGATTGATGCAAGAAAAAGCTGGGAATCCTTGGTTTAGATGGTGGAGCAAAGTGAGGATTCACTGACAAGCTAGAAGTAGAGTAATCCTGTTTGCAAAAGAGCTTAATTTAACTCTCTATATTGCCTGCAATTCATGGAAACAGTTTTAGGAGACCAGAAATAAACTCCAAAAGATCTGGACAAGGGCATCCAAGAACCATGACACTCGATGAAAACCAGTATCCTCTAATGACGGCCTTTCCAGACAGATATTAGAGGACTGCTACAGCCATAATATAGCTCCCTCATGAGTTCTTTGTTGCTACTAGAAACTTAGTTTACTCTTTCCTAAAACCTTATGCAAGAAGGCTTTTTTGGCACCCATCCTACTTACTCACCCATCACAGAACTTTAGGTATAGTGCACAGAATATTATTACCCTAAAATCCAACTTCATTTGGCCTGAGTTCTCTTCTGCCATGGGGCCAAACTCAGTCTAGATACTAATGCTGAATTTAGAACCTCGTACCATTCTTCCAGCATCAGCAAAGGATCATCATGGAAGTGCAGGTTTCATGATCTTAGTATGCAACATATTACAATGGCCACATACCATTCCATGTATCTGATAAAGGGTTCTGACTCCTCAAATGTACGAACAGGAGATGCTAAATCCCTGTATATGTCTTTTCATAGGCAGTAACACTCATCTACTGAGTACCCAACTTGTTGATAAATATCTTCATAGTGAGCATTTTTGGTGGATAAAGTGGCCAGTAACAACATCAGATCTGAACCCAAATGAGCATCTCTAGAATGCATTTAGGAAGACAACTGTTGTTGCCATAAGCAGTGATATCATGAGATTTTTATTCATTTATGGTTACAAGGAAGCAGTAAAGAGGTTAAGAGTAAAGCCTGCAATGAAGGATCTGAGAGTAAAAGAAAGAACACCAAGAGTCATGCCAAATTGAAGCATTGGAATAAACTGCACATTCCATGGTAGTAAGTGGCTGTGACAAGAAGTGTAAAGATGAGAATGAGATCATGTGCAGCCTAAAGTACACCAGCTACAATAAAAGGATTTTAGTTCATCTGTGTGATGTCCAAAATTTGTTTTCGAACCAGCACACATTCAACATAACATTATGAAGTTGATTTGTCTATAGCACAGATTTTTGTGAAAGTATTTTCTGTAAAGTGGTGTCCAGCTGGTGAATCTAAAGTGGTAAAAATTGTAATTTCATCTATCTTAAACATGAATCAGGAAGATCAAATGGATACTAAAATCATAAACAATGAAATGTAAATTTAGCATAGAAAGTGTGAACTTAAGTGTCAGTGAATTACATTTAAAGAAGTATAATGTGTTTAGTAGTAAACTGAAGGAAATATTTGATCAGTTATACACAAAGTGTGAGGAAAAGGACATTAATTTAAATTAATTATACAGGCAGGCATTGATTAAGAAATGGTGCTTATAATAAAATTTATGTTTGTATTTTCATTTGTTTCATAATTCATGCCAAACATTTAGAACTAGTTAGAGACCTAATATCTGAATCGTTTACTGCTACCTTCAAAAATTCTTTTCTAGATGTGATAAAAATAGAAAATTATTAGAACTCACAATGAATAGAGAAACAATTTATAACAGAGGCATAATGGAATGTTAGCAATAAAATGTGATCATTAAGGAAGATAATATGCTTTTATGATACAGAATATGTTGGCAAACGACAGCTATAACTGTTTACCTTTTATACTGCTATGCTTACATCTAGTTCTATGAATCATCAGAGCTAATTGATTTTTTTTTATTATTATATTGATTGACTACTAATTCATAAAATTTTTAATGTGCCACCATTAATGGCTCTTATCTTTCTTATTTCATGAAAAATTAGTCAACAGTGAGTTCACAAATGCTTGCCATATCTGCCAATGAATTCATGTTTTCTTGGTGAGTGTGCAGATAATCCTGAATTCTGCTATCCATTGTATGCCATTTTGCAGCTCATTGCAAATAAACTACTGTGAGCCTTAGATATCTTTTTTGAATGAAATTGTCAGATGTTATTTTTAAAAAATTCTTCAAACCTTTTTGTTGCGAATATTTGCTCTCTTTCTGTAAATCCTATTTAGCTTCTCTTTTAATTTGGAAACTTTGGGATTTTGCTCTGGAGAGCTGTTCACAGTATCAGGCAAATCTTCAGGATTTTCAACTGCATCGAAAAAGACACCAATTTCTACACTGTCTAAAAATAAAAAAATAAAAATAAAAAAAAAAATAAAAAAAAAACTTCTTAAACTTTCCTTTATTTGTGTAAAAAAAAAAATTATATAAATCTGGATACAAAACAAGCATTTGATAATAGAATTTAAAGAAACTCTTAATAGAGATTGCTTTAAAATATTTACAATTTCTATTCAACTTGCATTACGAATGATTTTATTTATTTATTTATTTTAAATAAAGATTTTGTTTCATCACAGAAACTAATTCCTATTAACCCTCTGACTGCTTATCTTACCATTTCCACAGACCACATATATGCAGGCATGCATTTGTTACTAATATTTCAAAGTGCATCCCACCATTCCAATGTTTAACTATCAGTTAAGCATTTTGCGTAGTACTTCAAGTCAACTTTTGGTAAACAGATGTAGTTGGTTGTCCACTAATTTTCATGTTTTTGCAAAAACGTTCACAAATCTCTTTTCCCAATCTTATTCCTTGTGTATTATTTTGAGATATGGCTAGCAAGAAAACATTCAGCTAGTAATACAGCCTATATTTCTGATGAAATGCAAGATTCTAAAAGCAATTTTAATGATTTTGATAACAGTACGAGCAATAATGATAGTTCTTTATCGGATTCCTTTCTAGTATGAAGATGACTCACTAACCTTTCAAACTGTCTGACACTGGTGTTAAACAGATATGAAAAAACACTCCGATGCTTCCTGCCTCACTTCTTTTTCCTCGCAATCCAGGAACAACTTTGAATATGGTGAATGATGTATTTTGGAATGAAGAATAAAATAACTTGAATGATTCTGAACTTTTTTGACAATCGAATTTTACAAATGCTAGTAACAGAAATAAACAGATATGTTGAACAGCATAATCAAGCAATCATTCAAATGGTGGAAAAAAAAAATGGATAGAAATAAATAAATGAAAAAAGCTTATATTATTATTTTTTATTTAGTCTCAATTGTAAATACTGCAAAAATATATTTTCATTAAAGTGATTGGGAATTTTAGCAAACAGATGAAGAAAACCATCAATGGTCAAAACTAAATAAAATTTACGACATAACAGAATATTTTCAGGGCAAATTTCAAGGACTTAATATGACAGGCAAAATTGAGAATGGAATAATAATATAGAAAATGTAATTCAAACCTTCAAGAGCATATTTAGTTGGAAAACATTTATAGCCCCCCCCCAAAAAAAGAGCAAGATAATGGCTTAAAATGTTTCGTCCTATATGAATAAACTGAACACATTCCTGATTTTCTAATATATACAGGTGAAAGAACAGTGTACAGTCCAAAATGTAGTCACTATGCAGCTTCTACCAAAATTACTTTTTGAATAAACTGAACACATTCCTGATTTTTTTTTTAATAAACTGAACACATTCCTGATTTTCTAGTATATACAGGTGAAAGAACAGTGTACAGTCCAAAATGTAGTCACTATGCAGCTTCTACCAAAATTACTTTTTGAATAAACTGAACACATTCCTGATTTTTTTTTTTTTTTTTTTTGAATAAACTGAACACATTCCTGATTTTTTTTTAATAAACTGAACACATTCCTGATTTTCTAGTATATACAGGTGAAAGAACAGTGTACAGTCCAAAATGTAGTCACTATGCAGCTTCTACCAAAATTACTTTTTGAATAAACTGAACACATTCCTGATTTTCTAATATATACAAGTGAAAGAACAGTGTACAGTCCAAAATGTAGTCACTATGCAGCTTCTACCAAAATTGCTTTTTGAATAAACTGAACACATTCCTGATTTTTTTTTTGAATAAACTGAACACATTCCTGATTTTTTTTTTTGAATAAACTGAACACATTCCTGATTTTCTAATATATACAGGTAAAAGAACAGTGTACAGTCCAAAATGTAGTCACTATGCAGCTTCTACCAAAATTACTTTTTGAATAAACTGAACACATTCCTGATTTTCTAATATATACAGGTGAAAGAACAGTGTACAGTCCAAAATGTAGTCACTATGCAGCTTCTACCAAAATTGCTTTTGGAATAAACTGAACACATTCCTGATTTTTTTTTTGAATAAACTGAACACATTCCTGATTTTCTAATATATACAGGTGAAAGAACAGTGTACAGTCCAAAATGTAGTCACTATACAGCTTCTACCAAAATTACTTTTTGATCAATTGCTATTAAAAAGTTACAGTGTCACAATGAATAACTACTAAATATCTCTTTAATTGGCAGACATTTTAGTTTCAGAAAAAGAAAAACAGTTACTTACAGAACAGTAAATAAGAGCACATAAAAGACCTTCCTTCTAATTTTTTAAAAGATAAAATATTTAATGAAATGCTTGCATTTCAAAGGGGTAGAGTTATGAAATGGCAGAACAAGTGTTTTTCTCATGAGTACTATTCGTAATGCAAGTTCTCGTTTGATGAAATGCAAATTAAGTAAACTGCAATGAAACTAGTTACTGTTTATAGTTATAGCAACATAATAGATGGTGTTGATTTATGTAACAGAGAAATGTTACAGTATCCAACTCTCCCCCCCCCCAAAAAAAATACAGAAAATATTATGTGAAAATCTTTGCTTATGTACTTTGCAAAAAAAATTAAGCTGCAGGAGTTTTGCATGCAAATGATTGTTGAACAGCATATCAAAAAACATTTAGATAGATAATCAACCAGTGCAACTGAAAGACAGTTCTACTCTGAATCCTTGGAAATTGACAGTTGTTATTTTGCAAGCAATACACATCTTAATCCAATAAAAAAAAAAAAAATTAAAAAAAGAGCCTTTCAAACAGTGTGCTGTTTAGAATATTTTCTTTATATGTTTGTATCTAATATTAATTTTTCTAAACGTTCATTCTTATGATCTAAATCAATATTTAAAAATGTTTGTTACAAAAATATGCTAATATTAGTATTCCCAAATGCATGTGGATATCAAATATGCACTAAAAAGTGTGATTTTTAAGTGATTTTGTTAAAAAATTGAGTAGTCACAGGATTAGCAGATCAAAATATTTTCCTCCTGCATATATTCATTTTCATTAGAAATAAACAAGTTGCTTTGCAATTTGCTCCATTTCAGTTAATGCAATATAACCCTCTCAGTTAAATGCAATAACACTGCACTAACTGAAATGCAATGCAAAATTCAGTCAATTTTAATTTTTGAATTATATAATCATAGTAAAGTGCAACACAGCACAATAAGACTTATGAGCCTAAAGACACAACAGACTTATGAGCCTAAGACTTGATGCTTCTGCTAAAGACTTTCTGATGGAAACTCATCATTTTTGTGGTAAAAGCAACAAAACTTTAGATAGCCCATTAGGGCACAGGATAAAGCACCAGTATGTTTCTTTGGAATACAAATGATGAATGCAACTATTATTATTCAGATTAAGATAACAGTTAATTAAAAAACAAAGATTACTTCGAAGAATTTCCTTTTGTCTTCAAGCAATATAATGCAATAAACAGTTCTTATTACTTATATAAGATAACAGTTAATTAAAAAATAAAGATTACTTCGAAGAATTTCCTTTTGTCTTCAAGCAATATAATGCAATAAACAGTTCTTATTACTTATACAACAAACTGCTATAAAATTTTAAAGCATAACCAAATCTGATCATACTAAAAGAACAAAATATTAAGAAATTGTCACTGCATAGAAGCACATTTACCAAGGCATTTGTTTGGGATAATGAAAGCTACTGATCTTGCATTATGTTATCAAAAATATTTCCTAGAAATAAAGTGTATAGAAATAAAATATTCACTATAGAAATAAAGTGTTATTTTATGTAGAGGGCTGGTGTTGCAAACAGTAGAATCATTACAGGTGAGAAAAACTTGAAAGACAGCAAAATTTAGGATTGGAAGGGTAATATTTTGTTATTTAATAAATAACTATATTTATTATTGAAGTGGCAACACCATATTTGTATGATGTAACCATTGCTCAGCAACGTAAGAAATTATTTTAAAATGAGAATTCTGAAGTTTTACCAGCTAGGAGATGCATGAAAAATTTGTAACTAAAAGACTGTATTCAAATTATCTATATCCGTAAACAAAAAATAAAATTTATGTTTTACTAAGAAGATTATCTGTTATTTTGTCAATTACTGCAAAATACATTACAGTATATACTTCATAGAGCAACAAAATGCTAACATCAACCCTGCATGAGTACAGAAAGACTTTACAAATAATCCATGCCTTACTTAGAAATTGAATTCAAACTCAACAATAAGATAATTACATACAGAGCTGTGATAGTTGCATATATTAATACATAACTCAACAGTCTAATAATTATCATACAAAGTGAGCCTGCTAAGTAAGAAATCAAAAGATTACAACTACAAAAGATTTCCACTGTTTATAAGAATATAAAACCCGCACGCTGAAAAGGATATCTGAAGTGGTACCGCAGCACCTTGGCTAAAAAGTGGCTGATATTTGAACCATGTGGTTTCCTCAAACAGACCAACAACTCATATATGAGATGGTAGTAGAGGCATAGTCTCTTTATAATGCTTCAGCGAAGTCCATAGAAAACTGCACTTGGATTAATTAATAGTCTTAAAGAAGCTAGGACTCATATTTTTGACATGTGGCCTCTAGTTCTGATTTGCTGTTTAAATACAATGTTACTTCAGTATATGTGATTCTTGGACATATAGCAAAGGAAATTTTCCAATAAGAAATAAAGAGAAAATAATTATTCTGTTCTAGAAAAAAAAAAAAAAAAAAAAAAAAAAAATCCTATTATTATCATAACACTATTTAATACTAAAATACAAATGCAATAGAGGAAATTTTAGCTTTAGTATTTGTCAATTTTTGTTTGTACTTTTTCTTGTTTAATTTATAAAACACAAAAAAATAATTTAAATTAAAAAAAATAAAAATATATGTGTATTTTTCTAGTTTTGTAAGGGAATGGGGGAGAAATGATTGTCTAGCACTGGTGAAAGGGG